TAAAACGGGAGGGTCGCGCATGGTGTAGGCACATACCCCCAAAGTTTCAGCTTTTTAGCTTTTCTGAGTCTCGAGATGAAAGTGGGTGACAAAAAGTGCGAACACACGGACACACACACACACACACACACAAACACACAGCCTCTTCCCAATATGCGTTTTTGTAATTTACATATATGCAAAAACGCAAAAAGGGAGGGTTGCGCATGATATGGGCACATACTTCTAAAGTTTTAGCCTCCTAATTTTGGTTCTCGAGTTGAAAGTGGGTGACAAGAAGTGCGAGCACATATTTACACAGACAGACAGCCTCTTTCCAATATGCGTTTTTGCAATTTGCGTACGTTCAAAGACGCATAAAAGTGATACGGATGATACTGCTCCGGTCTGCAGCTACGAGATGCTAAAACTGGTAGACAATGTTGTTATTTTGCTTTTAGGTTAATTACTCTACTGCATACAATAGCAAACGAAATGCCCGCATGGGTACAGCAGTGTATAAAAATCCAGAAAACCGAAAAACATCTTAATAATAGAACAACAGAAATTCGACCAGCTGGAAAATGAATTAGTGCTAAAATAACAGTAACAGAAAGTAGTCTAGTACAAGAAAAACTACAGAAAACCCGAAAATGACTTAATATTAAAACAATAGAAAATCCGTGAAACCAGAAAGAAAAAACCCGAAAATCCGAAAAATGGCTTAACAATTAAATAACCAAGATTTGATCAAGCTGAAGCAACTGCCCTCTCGCTATCTACTTCAGCACAGCTCGCCTCTTTTCGCTCTCATCAGTCATCAACGACGGGCCAACGCCGACTCATTAACAGGTTTTAGCGGTATCGGTATTGCTGCATTGGTGAGTGCCCGATATGTTTCATCCAAAGCATCCTGAAAAATTAGCCTCTCCTGACTTTCACGCACAGCACACTGAAAGACCAGGCTGGGTACCTGTGGAATACTTTAGAATACTGCAAATAAAAAACAGCAGTGACAAATGGCTGTTTTAGTTATTCAGATATGAACACAACTAATTGATGGTAAATTTTTGGGGGAGGTAAAACATTAAAGAGCGCACATGAAAAATACTGTGAAATCTGCAATGGTTTTAAAGCGTCGAACCGCAAGGACAGCATCCACCTTTTCAATACCACTGTGCTGAGAGCAATGATGCATAAATGCGAAACATGTTCACTGGTGAAAGCAGAAGAGCGAACGCTGGATGTGACAGAGACAGAAGTGGACTGAAGAATGCTTGGAGTGATTCTTCTTGACCACGTAACGGTGTGTAATATATGGGTCAATTGTACTGATAGGCCGAGTAAATCAGATGAGATGTTATATCAGTAGTAAAGTAACTGCTGGCCTTTATTGTGGAAGAATCATTTGCAAAACTGAGTTGTGTTGTTGGCAGTGAATTGCGACGGACAATCCAGCGATGGGTAAGAATCTGTGCGGCGGATAGCCGTTTGGACGAATCAGCATGGAGAAGCAACTGGACGAGATCTTTTGCTGATTCCGAGATATTCGCCCAAGCTGGACCATTCAGTGAATACTTTCCTTCACCAACGCGTTTCATGATTTTTTGCGGTGTACTGTTCTCATCGGTTGCATATAGGGTCTCACTAAAACACCATGGCAAATACTCTGCAGTTGTGTATTCAGGATTCATCAAAGAAACATGATAATTTGAATAACGGAAATCTTTTGACCAACACTGCGCCAAACTTACGCGCTTCTAAGGCGAATAGCTTTTTACCATGACCGACTTTCTCTCAAGCAATATTTGAAAGAGGAAGCCATCGACAGTACTACTAATAAAAGACTGCTATCGACATGCGCCACCCCACTCGTGCTGCTTCTGAATGCCTCAATATCACTTAGAGAATTAATACGGGGAAAATTTTGACTTTAAATTTTAACACTTTAAGCGAAGATTGAATTTGTAGGACATACCCGCTAAGCATAGTGTAAAGAAGCGCTCCAAGTGACCATACATCATAGCTCATATCACAGCCTTGGTTTTCCAGGATTTCTGGTGCAGTGAACTGTGCCGTATAGCAAGGTGTCGTCAAGAGGCCATTTTCGGTTCGTAATTGTTTCGCAAATCCAAAATTAATGATCCGAATGGAATCTGGATGAGCTGTACGGGAAGCATACATGATATTCGAGGGCTTCAGATCAAGATGTACAACCTAAAAAGAGAAGAAACTTTTTTTAAGAATATGACCCAGGCTAATTACTTCAAATTTAGTGTAAAAACGCGTGACCGCATCAGGCTAGTTGGTGCGGTCATGCGTTTTTGCACCAAACGTGAAGTAATTAGGTTAACTGT